TCTACCACCCCCCCCCCCCCCCCAGCAAAATAAGCTGTTTTAAGATGACTTGAGCTTGGAGATGCATACAAGGTTCACTCACCGAGCCCCGGGAAGGAGGAACACGAGCATGCCTGAAGCCTCTGTTCTTTTCTTTCCGGTGTAGGTAATTCTTCACAGCGTCTTAAAAAGACAAAGAAAACAGTGCACACGTGTCAGTGTCTTGATAGCAAGCCTTTAAGTTTTAAAAAAAGTAAAATAAAAATATTCACGTTATAGATTTACTGCCAGAATGTACAAAATAGTGAAGAAATGTTCGACCTACAAGTTAAAATTCAATGGCTTAACAAGGGAAACTATTTAACTTGGGCGGGGGCACCCTTAACTTGGGACAAAAACAGTTCTAATGTAACTGGTGTCTTGAAATAGACTTCAGTTGCACAGGCGATCTGGTTATTATTGGGGTATTGGGAAACAATACGTGTAGACAGAAGTCTGTCATCTATATTCATTCGCATCACATGGATCTGCCTGCGAGGAGAAGAGGAAGAAGTAGTGAAGGTTTTCTTTAAGTGCACCTACCCTGCTGGCGGGAAAGCTTGCTGGGATTGCTGGGCAGGTTTTCTTTCTGGAGGGTCCCATCTCTCTGGAGTAAGCTGCAGTGGAGTTGAGGGCAGGTTCTCCGGTGAGGTAGGAATGTGCAGGAACTCCGCCCTCTGGGCACAGTCACACAAACCCAGCAAAACAGCCACAGCCAGCCCTAAAACCTCTAATGATCTTCACCTTCACCTCTTGCTAACCCAGTTCTCCACTTTCTGACCCATTTACCCAGTCACTTTCACCACAGGGGAAAAAAACTGTCTTCAGAACAAGAGCATTTGAGCTTCAGATGTACCCAGACACTAGTGGTGGGGAAAAGTCCATGGGTATATAGATCCTAGAGGTGTACACAATCGCCTTGATAACTCTATAGTCAAATGACATATAGTGTGCATATTATTTCTATAGATTTCATTCTGCATTCGTGTAATGTGTATATGTTCTCTTTAAATATATGTATTTACATATGTATAATATACATATAATATATACATATGTATATACATATAGTATATATGTGTATATACTATATGTATGTACATATATACATATACATATACACATAATATAGACATATACATATGCACACACAGATACATACTTGTGCATATTATATTTGTATATGTATAGAATGTGTTAGCAATATATGCAAGTAGCCTGTAATGAGTATGGAATTCAATATATAAAGGCGATAATACACACCTACAGATTTTTGTGACCAATAAAATAATATGATCACTAAATTAGCAATGAGTATTCAAGTCTAACTTCTTATCCAGGCAAAAAAAAACAAAACCAAAAACTCTTATTGAGTTCAAGTGGAGTTTTGCTTGAGTAGGCAGTGCATAAGTTCTGACTGGGACTCAATCTCATAGCGTGTGGTGAGGGGGTGTCTGTCTGAATCATAATTTCTGATAGAAATCTTAATAATCATCAGAAAGGAGTCAGAATTAGAAAAATACAGATCCGCCCATACTTTTTCAGTGGTCAGATTTTTTTTTTTAAGATTTCCTCCGCCCAATGGTCGTACTTAGATGGATTTCATTATTGTTTATTTTTACGCAAACGATCTAGCTGGTATTTCGCATAAACTGAGCTGTTTTCGTGAAGCCAATTTAGGAAGTTTAAAATATATAAAGGAAATAAAAGAAATTAAACCAGGGGGCTTGTCTGACGTTCGACTGCAAATTTAGAAAGCAGCTCATTAATGACCATTTATTTTTTTCTAGCACTTAAAAAAATCAACTAGAAGTTTATTGATGCTTCATCTTCTATATAGATGAACTATAGAGAAGATGACCTACATAGAACAATTTGATCGTCCCAAAAACAAGCCAAAAAGATGACAATAGCTTCTTAATTTTTAAAAATGAACAATACCAAAGGGGAAGCCCTAGGGGAGAAAAGCCACTGGGATATCTTGACACATTATAAATATATATATTTTAATTGCCTAAAAGATCTTAAAAGTTCGACTTCAGGCGCCTGCATGTCCAAAGTGTATGGAAACAAACATAAAATCACACCTTTTTGCTGAAGAAAAAAAATCCCCTTAAATTTCACACCGCACTGTCGTATGTTTGAAGACTTGTTAAAAGTCATCTTGAATTAACAAAAGTTTTAGCTTGTTGGATGGGAGACAGAGGAAAGTAAAATATAAAACCAGGGCCTTTTTTGTTCGGCTACACGATATTCATACTTTAGCATGTTTCTTCAAAATTATTTCCATCCCAGGTTATATTTATACACTAACCTGACTACCTTACCAGATCAAGCACCTCCCCCCTCCCCTACATCAGTAGGAAGAAGAAAAAAGTCAATAACACCTGAAATGCTTAGGCAGCACTTTGTTATGGAACCCAAAGTTAAGCACCAAGGAGAGCTTGTTTAAAACTTGTCTATTATAGGCACCTAGAGAAATATAGTAGTGCCACTTCCCCCACCTCCCACCCCCCAAGGAATTATCATCCATCACGCTTACCTAATTAATGCTTATTAACCACTGTAAAACTTTGATTTGGAGAGATGCCTTTAGCCAATTTGGCTATTCACTCCCCCCCTCCCTCCCCCCAGTATATTATCAGCAAGTTTTGTTTAAAAAAATAAAAGCAAAACAAAACAAAAACCCTGCAAACGGAATAATATGTTAAATATGTGCTATTGGATTTCCCACAATATGCAACCTTTTGGAAGCGTTAAATAATAAATCATCTCCTTTGTCAGCTGCAGCAGATGCCATTCTTTTAAGTTTCTTAGGTAAAAATATACAGAATGGGGACTCCACATTTTAAAAACTTAAATTCACGCATTTTTCTGATCAAATTTAGCTTCCAATTTGATTGTATCAAAGTATTATTTGCCATTGTTACGAACACTCATTCGTTTGGGCATGATCTTAAGTTTTAATGGACGAAGATTTCTTTTCTGCGTGGGGGGGAGGGGTGGAGTGTAGGAGGTGAGCTTCATAGTAGTGTCACTAAAACAAAGCAACCTTTTCCGTACACTTATGATGAATCTGAACTGCAAGAGTTAGAGTGGAAGCCAAGACTATCAGAGATTGTTCTGCCTCCTACCCCAAGAAGTAATGCCTGGTATCCCATCTCTCACTGAACGTCACCCTACTCTCCCCCTTCCCTGCAGATTTGCTTGCATTTGTTTGTGTAGGTCTTATTATCAGAAGATTTT